CCCCCCCCCCCCACCCCGCCCCCGGGCCTCTAAAAGGAAGTGAGCTGGTTCGATTACTAGTAAAGGCGGGTCTATAGTTATCACATTAACTTTAATTTATCCTGTTGTATAAATTAGCTTTATTTTGTAAATGCTCTTTAACGTCCGCTAAAAGAACAGGCTCGAGAGCTCAATTATACACGTATTTTGAGGTGTAAGTACCGGTAAACTAGCCGTCAAATTGAGGCTTCAATATACCCGCCAAACAACCTTGCTTGCTCCTCCCTGAACGGGTGTCTAAACAGTTACTTGGGGAATTCAGGTGTTCTAGTTATCCTCCACTTGGCCCAAAATTCTTGTAAAAACTCTGTACCTTCCCTAATCTGCTACTAGTACGTACTGCTGGGAACCCATGGCCATCTAAACGATGAGCCACCCTTGCAGTTACCTGTAGTATCACATTACATCCGACTGATGGTGACGATAAGATATGAATGAGCACTATTTTAATGCTCTCGTGTAAACACATGACCATCAGAACACAGTTTCATAAGGAAATGGGTCTGTGTATAGGCACTATTCTCTCAATCAGGCACTTGCACTTGGGACACTAAGTGTTCTAAAAGTATAAACGCGGTTAACAATGTTTTCTTTCTTTCTTGTTTTTATTAGTAATATGTCCTATTTGTAACTGTGCTTGCTCCTCCGAATTTAAACGAACCGAAACCAATTGTTAACTGAATTGGAAGCATTAGGCACCCTACTGATAAAAAATCTTAAAACGGTTAATTGGATAAGGTGGATATTATCGTTCAAAGTCGGTTTTCTCACTTCAATTAAGCCCTCCAATGGAAGTATCTCGCCATAACGTCGTCGCACAATCGGGGCAAAAGCTCAAAGATGAAACTTGAAATCGACTCGCTTTGTACGACATTTCGTGCCATGAAGACCGTCGTTCTTCCCTCATCGCATCCTCATTTCAAAGAGCAGTCTTTCAACTCCGCAGGTAGTCTGTTCCACAACCTCGCAGCGCCAAATATAAATGAGCGCTGTCCGTATGACTGTTTTATTCTGGTTAACTTCATTTCTTGTTTCTTAAAATTCATTTCCCTCCGATCGGTCAACTCAGTTGGTATAGTGCTGGACTGCTCGGGGGAGGTCTCGGGTTCGAGCCCCAGACCGGACCAACACTCAGGGTCTTAAAATAACTGTGGAGAACATGCTGCCTTTGCAATGACATCTGAAAATGGTGAGATGTTCTAGTCTTCTCGGATAAGGACAATAAATCGTAGGCTCCGTCTCCTACATCTTCAGTGTTATATAGTCAGCAGGGGCAGTTAAAGAACCCACTTGTCGTAAAGAGTAGGGTACGGAGTTCCCGGTGTAGTGGTCTGGCCTTGTTTCACGGGTTGGTGCTTTACTTAGGGTTAACTTCATTGCACCTTTCCCCCCTTGGACATATTTGGCCAAGAAAAATGATCATGAGTTGTTTCCCTGGAATGAATTGCACTTATCAATCTCAAAAATATTAATGTAGCTTAAAATGTAGCTGGGTAGCAGACCATTTTTAACCATTTTCAGCAGACCATTTTTAGCCATGACTGACTGTCCATGTTTCCATCTATGTGGAAAACGAAGACGGGCTCTTAAATTTTGACTTGAGAAGGAAGAGGGACTGATTTCCGACCGATTTCGTTGGAAAATATATGAATATCATTATTAGCCCCTACGGTTGTAAATTGAACAACCTATTTTTAAACGAGTATATAGACTGTAAAATTAAAGTTTTCTGGCAGCTTTAAGTTAATAAACTAAAGGTTACTTTAGTATAAAGGTGTTTATATGCACCCTCTTTCGCCATTTCATTCATGAAATAATGTCGAAACCATCGAAACCATCGAACCATCCCGTAAACGGCTCCTCTCTCTGGAATTTAAATTAGTTAGTTGTCTAGTGAGACGCCTCTTGTATAAATTAGGCCATAGTCAAAACAATAAAATAATAACAGAGAAAGGGTGGCTTAATTTGCAGGTGCGACTAAATATCCCGTGACTCGAGCTCCAACCCTAAATATAAAACAGATTCACTTGTACCTGCGCCGTCTACGCGCCTCTGAGTTTTAGTCGCCGCGTCCATTAACATTGTGCTTGCTAAATGGCGGGTGACACGATGATATTGTTCTAGGACAAATTTATGGGTCTCTTTATTCCGAATTCATACTGTATACATACTCAGCCAAACAATGATTTTTAAGTGCAGTTTTATCGCGAACATTGAGAACACATCTAATAAGCCAACGAACAAATGAACAAATTTAGTGAAGAGAAGAAATACTCAAATGAGAACTGTCTTCGCTCTTCTCATTATGGACGCAAAGAATGTAAACTGTATGCAAATAAACAGGAGAGAAGAATAGCATTTATTTTTCCGTCATCTTAAAGGCAAAGCCGTGTACTGGAAAAACGAATCGTTATTCCACCCCCGTAAAATTAACATTTTTTCTCGCCTCTCTCTTTTAGTTCCCTAGCCAACATTTACGTAGTTATTGGCCTCTACGGCTAATGAGTAAATTCGAGAACGTCCAGACTTCCTTCAGAATAGAAAATACCAGCCTTTGTATACTAAAGGTTAAATTTGAATATTTATAAGGCAAGAAGTATCCACAAATATTTTGCGAAGGGTGAAGCACAAATACTTGAGACATGTATCTTTCACTTCTTTTGTTTTGATTTGATTTATTCTCCCAGCATAACAGTGCAATAGTTCTTTGGCACTGTCAACTTCTGTACTGACCTTGGTTAAATACTGCGCAGATATTGGCGAATTTGCAACTCAAATCAGGTTAGTTCTATTTTCATGCAAATATTTATCGTTATCTGTCACACCCTCGCTGTAGTTACAGGCTAAATCGCCGCTTTACTCAGCCTCCAGCAATAGAGCCAAAAAGCGAGACGTTCTGACATGGCGAAGCCAGTTTCGTATATAAAGACTCCGGAGGATGAAGATGTCACTCTTGAAATGGTCGAGCCCTCGATTAAGCCTAAAAGTGACGGCGACGGGGCCGTTGGATTGTACTTTGAACGCAGTGGATCGAAGAAGAAAATTGATTATGTCCTTGTGTACGAGCGCTGCCAAGAAAAAGAGGATGAAGATGAAGAATCCAGGGCCAAGTCAGAAAAGCTTGAAGAAATGAGGAAAGCGTTTGAAACTAGCCTTGACAAAGCTGGTTTACTGGTCGAACGTGTGGAGCGTACTTGTTCTAAGGTAAGCACAACCTGAAGAATGTCACAGTTATGGCGTGTGATCGATTTAGGCTCGTCTGGAAATTCCTTTGGTATAACTGACTTGTGTGGCTTTACGGGATTTTGTAGTTGTGCAAGAAAGGAGCAAAATTAACAACAAATCAGGCTTCAGGGGTTTCGATTGAATTTTTCATTGTTTTTTTTATTTTTGATAATTCCATTGGTTAATTCAAGCGTGACTAGTTGGATCCAAAAAAACTCAAGATCGTTACATTGATCGCTGGTAGATCAAGCAAACAATGGAATTTTTGTTTTATTAACTTTTCCAGGGAGTTGACGGTTCCTTTAAATCCTGAATTGTTGAAGCTTCACGATTATCATGATAAAGTGAGTCACAATATTGATTGCTTAATCGAACGAGAAGTTTCACAAGCTAAAGAAAACTTTCTTACCTCAGTTGGCAGAATTGCTTTTTATAAAACTTGAATTCTTTTTGTGTTCTGTTGCCGGTTGTTGTTTTTTGACCGATGGACATGTACTAATAGTTAAAACAACGCTGCGAAAAATCTCATTTAAGAGCTGTTTTATCTGAACCGTTAATCCAATATAAAGAAAAATTTTTGCCAAAAATATGTATTGATATATATACCTTTGCATGCGATAAAATTATTGCCAAAATATGATTTTCTAATGTTCCTTTTTAAATTTTTTGTCAAGACGCGTATTTTTCTGAGGTAACACAGCACTATCCAGTTGAGACCCTTAACCAATTTTTGAAGACACATACAAGCAAACGAAAGCAAAATTAACATAAGAGAGATTTAAAGTTTCAATATGGCTCGATCAAAAGATTAACCACTCTGTATTTAGTATTGACAATGATATTAACCTCATCAAAACGTCCATACACACCCACTTCAATCTACAATGTATCGTTATTAGTTTGTAAAATGCAAATTGTGTATAACAACTTTTATATATTTACAGCAAGTATACAATATATAGATTTTACTAAACAGTACAGTGCTGATGGAAAATTAATTGACAAACAGTACTAGTGTCTTATGAAAGGAAAACATTTTCTTAAAAAAAGGAAACAGCAAGGACAGGGGATGAATAAAACACTTAGTAAACACTACACACATGCAGTACTTGCTTACGCTATTTGGTTTTGTGACTTCTAACTGCGAGCTTCATTCTCACTCTTTTATTCAAATTTTTTACTACGCTTCGGGCTAATTGATTTAAACCGACAACTGTCTATAAGCTTCTATACACCATTTTTTTCACCATTATATATTTCTCAAGAACATATGTATAGACAACGTATTCTCCTTGGTTTAGATCATGTCATTTCTGTAATTAAACGGGAGAGAAGAATAGCATTTATTTTTCCGTCATCTTAAAGGCAAAGCCGTGTACTGGAAAAACGAATTGTTATTCCACCCCCGTAAAATTAACATTTTTTCTCGCCTCTCTCTTTTAGTTCCCTAGCCAACATTTACGTAGTTATTGGCCTCTGCGGCTAATGAGTAAATTCGAGAACGTCCAGACTTCCTTCAGATTAGAAAATACCAGCCTTTGTTTACTAAAGGTTAAATTTGAATATTTATAAGGCAAGAAGTATTCAGAACTATTTTGCGAAGGGTAAAGCACAAATGATTGAGACTTGTATCTTTTACTTCTTTTGTTTTGATTTGCTGCATTCTCGCTCTTTTATTCAAATTTTTTACTACGCTTCGGGCTAATTGATTTAACCCGACAACTGTTTATACACCATTATTTTTCACCATTATATATTTCTCAAGAACATATGTAGAGATATCGTATAGATTTTGTTTAGATTATATTATTTGTGTATTTAAACGGAAAAAGCCAAAGACCATCACGACTCCACACTTATAACTTATGCTGGAAGAATTACTTTTAGTCCACTCAGCCTTTTGCCCGGAATTTTCATTAGCGTCGTATCTTCAGTCTGCACGATGGATAAGTATTCATTGCAGACAAATAAGCTAATATTTTAATTTTCGTGTGGATGACAAAAATTTGTTTTGTTGTCAATACTTTGTAACAACTAGTTAAACGTTTTTGTTGACGCAAATTCGTCTTTATGTCTGTCCATATTCCTTTGATCCGATATCATGTGCGTTTAACAAAAATAGTATTGGGTGAATTTTTGCCAGGTTAATTTTTTTCCAAAACAACAAATTAGGCGAGTTACTACTCATAGTATGGTTTTGGATACCTACTTCACTGTACCAGGGACTGTACCCAAGTAATCGGTACAGTGAAAATAGCATTGCCAGTTATCAGTTGAGCATCATTCTTCAGAAGCCATGCTTTGTTCCATTACGTAGTTACATGTATTACACATGAATAGCGCCGTGCAACCAGATTAACCTGTTACCTTTTTGTTTTTTTTTTCTGTACCGATACGATTGTTCAATTCTTCTTCACAGAGCCAAAAAGTCAGAATAAATGTACATTCTCAAGGCTATTCGGCTCCTAGGAAATTGATTAGTCGCGGTTCACTTGGTTCTAGTCAACTCCAACATGAAAATCACGTAGTTTTCAACAATGTCTTGGGCAAACTGCGCTATCTTGTATTTTTAGACACATGCCTTTCAAATCTAACAAGCAGCTCCTAAGAATGAAAAAAATAAACAAACCAGTGGGCGACAAATCGTTAGGTTTAAGTGTGGATTTAAAGAATCCTGCCTGGCGTTAAGTCTGAGGTGTAGATTTCGCTCGTTGGAAATATAACTTTTTAATTCTCAATTTTAAGCTCAATCATGAAGCCCCTATATATATATATATATATATATATATATATATAAAACATTTTGTCTATCCTTTGAAAACCATTGAGCCAGAAACAAGCTAACAATTATGCAAATACTTACGCCCATTTTAGTGTTTGGCCCAGATTTTTCCATCGAATTAATAACTCCCGCAGAACGTGGGCAGGGCTTCGCGATGAATATAGGTTCTAACAGATACTCTAGATTAAGCCAAGATGAAGATGGTATTGAGTTGGAGCTAAAAATCGAGCCAAGGGGCATTTACTTTAGCGACGGTATGGAACCAAAGAGGCGTATCGACTATGTTTTAGTGTTCGAAACAAACACAGAAAGTGACTCTGATGACTCTGAACAAAAAAGACTAGAAACTCAGCGAGAAGTCTTTGAGGACAACTTGAGAAAGGAGGGTTTATCAATAGAATACGATGAATTAATTTCGTCCAAGGTATGTGTCTCCGCTTCAGGATAAAGTATGTGATCGTTAGAGAATAATTTTATGCAATGATTTTGCACAGAGTTCAGTGTACGTCAAGCTCTTACTCCCTAAGCTTTGTTATTGTTTGCGAATTTGTTGCATTGTTCGGTCCTTCCTATATTCAAAACTAACCGGACACATCTGCTGGCTTGGATTAAAATTTTTGGGCATCGGCTCGAGCCATTTAAATCTCACGTTTGACCTCTGCCAGGCGCTATGCTGTTATTTGCAAGCGAATTTCAACTGGTACGTTGTTTCTTATTCCTCCCATTATGTTAACAAGCACCAACAAACCCTTTGCCAAGCGATTAAGATTTCAACATTTTTTTATGGGAAAGATTTGCAAAATGATTTTGGCTCAGCCTCGTAAACATACATATTAGTGACGCTCTAGTGCATTAAACTTGCAAGTCCAAAGTTCGAACCCTGTAGTTATTCGATGATCCGCCAATGAACTCTTCTATTATAATCCTTGGGAGTTGTCTGTTACCATTTCATGCCACGGCGTTTATCGTCATCGCATCTACGTTTCCCGTGTTTCCAGAAGAGCTCATGTCAATTCTCACTCCCTTTCACCATTGGCTCATGTGAAAAAGACCCCCCCTCCCCCCTTCCTAAACAGAGCTGTCTGACATTTTATTCAGGATTTATTGAATGATGATGTACTTTATCATCATCATCATCATCATCATCATCATCATCATCATCATTATTGTCATCATCAGCATCATTTAATAAAACAGTTGGATGGCTTACTAGTCAAAAAAAAGAAATAAAGAACAGAATGAAAATATAAAGCATTTTGTTGATGTTACAATCTTAGTTCTTATAGTGACAGCAAGTTATTAAATAATTTTTGCGGCATTCTCAATACAAATCCTGTGATACTAATGGAGAGTATTTGTCCAGAAGTCTGTTTTTTTTTTCAGTTTTGACATGACCATTTTATTTGATTTTTCATTGATATTTTAAATTAGATGATAGTCAGTCTAAGAGTTTACGGTAAATGATTAAGTCGGAAGATAAAAGCGCAATGGATAGCCATCACTGACCCATTCAAATTCTCAATCCACTCATCCGACTAGGGAATATAAATACTAACAGAAACGACTGAGAGTTTTTTCTCTTAATTTTATGTTAATTTTTGTCTTTATTTTTTGTTTTTCAATCTTTTCCTTTTTCCAGGATCCCAAAGTTAAACGCCATTTTGTACTTCTTCATGCCCCGTGGGAAGTGCTGGCCAAGAGAGCGGAAGCGATGCGTTTGAAACTTCCTTTTCAAGAAAACGATATTGTATTCAAATCTTGGGCAGAGGAGAGGATTGGAAATGAGAGGATGCAGTCATTAAGAAGACGAAACCCTCTTGTCGTTCATGACCCCACCTTCGAAGGGAAAGGAAGCTTCTTTATGGCTAACTTTAAGGAAGCAAAGCTAACCAAGTTTTTGAACTATCAAAACAGAGACGAGTTGTTTGACGATGTTGATCGAATCTACATCGTGCAACAGATTTGTTACAACGCTCGGTTCGCTGAGGGGTCTCATGGCGTTGGACTAAGGAAGATGATCTATGAAGGTGCCTACGTTGCGGGATATCCACTTCATTCTGGTCCTGTTGATCTGGAACGCGTGGAACAGCCGACTAATGATCGTCAGCGGCTGAAGCGTGACTGGGCCAGGTTTGGAAGATGGTTCAAATTTCAGCCATACGGTGAAATCAAGGATTACTTTGGAAGTGAGATAGCCTTGTATTTTGCTTGGCTTGGGTTCTACACGGCCATGCTTGTACCCCTTGCCATCATTGGCTTTGTTGTATTCCTTTACGGAATCGGATCGTCTGCCAGCCATATTCCAGTTAAAGATGTTTGTGACAGCAACAACACAGGAAAGTGGATCATGTGTCCATTATGTGATAAACAGTGTAGTTACTGGGATTTAGCTTCAAGTACGTGCCTTTACGCAAGGATAACACATTTCTTTGACAACGACTGGACTGTTGGACTTGCCTTGATTGCCTCAGTTTGGGCTACACTGTTCCTTGAGTTTTGGAAGCGTCGCCAAGCCTCATTAGCTCAGGAGTGGCACACTGATGACTTCGAAGAGGAAGAAGAGCCTTTGCGTCCCGAATACTCAGCTACAGTAACAACGCTTAAGAAGAATGAAATCACTGGCAAGATGGAACCATACGTTCCAAAAGCTCAACTTTACAGTCGTCTTGCTGGAGTGGTTAGCATCATCATCTTTATGATCTTCCTTGTCATCGCAGCTGTCGTTGGTGTCGTTGTTTACCGTGCTGCAGTGTTTGCCTCTCTGAGTGGAAACAATGATCGAAGTATTCAGACTCGTGCAAAGATCATCACTTCGGCTACAGCAGCTCTTCTCAATCTCGTTGCAATCAACCTCCTGAAGTTCGTGTACAGCAAACTGGCTGTGTGGCTGACTGACTGGGAGAATCCGCCAACTCGAACCGACTATCAAGACAGCTTCACCTGGAAGATGTACCTGTTCCAGTTTGTCAACACGTACGCATCCATTTTCTACATCGCCTTTTTTAAATCTGGAATGGTAGTTGGGACCCCAAGCAGATACAAGCGCGTTGCTGGAAGCTATCGTCTGGATAGCTGTAGTGAGCAAGGATGCTTCCTTGAGCTTTGTGTTCAGCTCCTTATCATTATGGTTGGACAGCAGGTCATAGGAAATATCACTGAAGTAGCCATCCCGTAAGTGGCTATCAAATTTTTATGTAATTTTTTTTAAAGATTATTAATTTAAAGTTCTTAGGAAAGAGCCATTATAGGACAGGCGTTATATTATCTAGTGTATCTTTCTAAGTGAACAATGACCATAAAAACAAAAATCCAGTATTTCCTATTTGAAAACTGAATTCTAATTGAAGTGTCTTGCAGTTACATGTAAAGTACAGAGTAACAAAAAAATACCTCTCGCTCAAGATGCATTCTTTTTTGTTGTTTTTTCATGTTAAGACTTAAACGATGGTAATATTTAAATTTTTGTTTTCTGTAGATCTATCATGTTTTGGTTTAACAGTCGAAAAGAGGTAAAGGAAGGCCTTCCACAATACCAACGCGATTTTGACTTGAGTCCACCAGGTGACCACTGCATGTTTTGGGAATATCTTGAAGTTGGTAAGTTAGCTCAACGATAATGCTCAGCTTTAATAATTACTCAGTAACATTAATCGGCAATGATCAAAAAATTTTGAATCTGTTGCAATGCAATGGCTGCACCTAACAGTCCTTAAAAGACTATAATAAAAAGGTATGATAGAAGGGAAAGATAGAACCCTGGGGCCTGTTTCTCCCAGAAACTGTTCGGACCCGGAAAGTTGTTTCGCGTTTGCCGTGTTTGAATTCAAAATCATAGTTTCCATAATTTTGAAAATTATACATTTAAAACTATCGGTTAACGAAGCAAAATTGACTTATTCGTGCGCTGGGAACTCCGCTAATATTCAATAGGTTTTGACTTAAAATTTGCCTTCGGGCCCGAAAAGTTTCTGTACCTTTCGTGACACAGTCCCCTGGTGGTTTTCAGTTCCTCGACGCAAAACAAATAGTAAGTTGATATATAACGCAATACAAGTACAAAAGGAATGCAGCAAAGATAAAACATGGGATAAGTCGGTTATTTATTCTGCGTCAGTGTCATGTTCAGTATCATGACTGATATTTATATGTCTCCTAGTTTTAAAATACGTTCATTAAAAATTTGCTTCATGATTGTCATTTCACATTTTGTTATACAGTTCTGCAATATGGATTTGTCACGATGTTCGTGGCCGCTTTTCCCCTGGGCCCTCTGTTCGCCCTTTTAAACTCCGTAGTTGAAGTTCGTGTGGATGCTATCAACTTTGTGTGTCAGTTCAGGAGACCAGACAGTACTCGCGCTCAAGACATTGGAGCTTGGTATCGCATCCTTGAAGGAGTAACAAAATTGTCAGTTCTAGTGAATGCCTTTGTCCTAGCCTTTACCTCCGAGTACATCCCTAAGCTTATATACAAGATGAAGTACGCGCCAGACCACGATGAGCCTGGTGGTGGAACGCTTCAAGGTTACATAGACAACAGCTTGGCGCTTATTACTACGGCCTATATCGAACAACAGGAGCCAGGGACAAAACCAGATGATCCCTTGGAAAATTTAAGATCGCTAGGGTCACCCTACGATAACAAGACCATTACAACCTGCAGGTAAATATGCTACTAAACCAAGAGAGGATTAAGTTCTCTTGACTAAACTGAAGAGTTTCAATAAAACAGATAATATTTTCATAAAACAGAATAAATAAATGAATATTGAAGAAGTAAATTGATATCATGAAAGTGATGCGTGTATTTAGTGATTCCAGGGTTATACACTTAGTGTCGTCCTCTCGGGGAGCGAATAATGCTGACGGGAAGGGGAGAGAGGCCAGGGGTGGGAGCGAGGGAAAAGGGCGAACAAAATAAGGTGGTTATCTTCAGATTACACATACTTTTTGGCTACTCGGGGAAAATGTTTTCTTGTTATCCCGTTCATTACTGTGTTAGACTTCCTCGTTGTTTCAACTTACCAGAAACTGATTGAAATTCCATCACTTTTGTTGCATTTCAGGTACTCTGGTTACTTTGAAAGCTTTCCTCCGTACAAGCAGAACAAACAGTACTGGCAAGTGATCGCAGGTCGCCTCGCTTTCGTGTTCGTGTTTCAGTTTACAGTTTACGTCATCACCAGTTTCATTGCGTGGCTTGTCCCAGATGTTCCTAAAAACCTGGAGTTGAAGGAAAAGCGTGAAAAGCATCTTACCAAACTAACATTCAAGAAGAAAGGTTACAGCAATAATGACAACGATCATTACAATCAAA